CACACACACACACACACACACTCACACTCTCACACACACACACACATACTCTCACACACACACACACACACACACACACACAGGTTTGTTTTTGTGAAAAGTGGGGACTCTCCATGGGCGTAATGGTTTTTATACTGTGTGATTTATAAGCTCTCTTATAAATCACTCACACACACGCTCACACGCACACGCACACACACACACACACACACGCACGCATGCACACTCACACACACACACACACGCACACACACACACGCACACGCACGCACACCACTCACTCACACACACACACACACACGGCTGTATGGGGTGCTGCCAGGTTAAAGCTCCTGACCCAGAGACAGTGATTAATGGGCTCTGAGAGGGAGTTTCTGCTCCAGAACTTCGCCTCGCACACAAACACTGCGTTGTAAGGCATCATGGGCTTTTCCTGTGTGCTGCCGGATCTGGGTTCATGTGATTTATTGTAATGAGTTGTAATTTAAGTTTTCAGGCCGTCTGGTTTTACTCGCTCTGAGAGCAAACAGGCAAAAGAAAGCAGGTGATTTCATGTTGTAAAGTTTGAGAGTTTGGGTCGAGTCTCGTCACAGGGGTTTGTCTAAAAGGTAAAACGTATGTAATGGCACCAAAAATAAGCTGTTGTGCTATTTTATTTAATGTTATATTTTAATATTTTATTTAATATTTTAATGTATATTTTATTTTAAAATAAAATAAACATATATCTTCTACAATATAAATAAAAATATACATTTTATTTAATTTTATGTTTTATTGTACATTTTTATTTTATTTTAAAATGAAATAAACATGTTCTATATATTCTGCACTATTTAATATATAAAATAGAATTTTGTTTGTATTTTACTTACTGTTGTATATTTGTTTATTTCATAAAATTAAATGTTTATAATCTATTTTATTAAATCTCTCTCTTTTAAATATATGTATAAACATATACATACATTAAATTATTACATAAAAATATATATTTTTATATTATAATTATATTTTATTATCATTTTATTTTTAAAAGTAAAATCTTAATATTAAATAAAATTTAAATATAAAAAGTTACTGATATATTTTATTTACTGTTATATTGTTATTTTGTACTTTATTATATATTTTTACTAAATATGTAAACAATAAAGTAAACCTATACTACTATTAAATAAAAATATATTTTTTTAATTTAATGTTTTTATTTTATATATTTAAAAAATTATAATACGTATTTTATGATGTATTTAAAAATGATACTTTTTTTCATTTTGGACCTTTTTTGGTCTTTGTCAGGTGTGCGGAGATTAATTGTTAATTGATCAAATATTAAATAAAAAATATTTTGTTCATGTTTTGTTATTTAATATTATTTTAATTTGAAGAAAATAATATATAATACATATTATAATAATAATATAAAATATAATTATTTCAAAATATATACTTTTCCAGACTGTTTTTGATAATATGTCTATGACTCTATGACCTGTTTTTTGTCATTGTTTTTTTCTGCAGTGTTTCTGCTCTGTTGTGTGTTATGATGAGCTGTTCTTCTCTCTCATGTACTCAGAGGCACATTTAAGGATTTAACCCGCTTCACACATGTTGACCGTATGTTGTGTGTGTCGGCTTTTTCCAGCACAATCCGGATCAGTCGGAAAGGATGGCACATGCTTCTCAACTTCTGCTTCCACACGGCCCTGACGTTCGCTGTCTTTGCCGGAGGCATCAACCGAATCAAATACCCCATCATCTGCCAGGCCGTGAGTCTTTCATCTGCGTTAACATTCTGTCCTTCAATGCATTAAATCGATTATTCATGTGTGCTGCATTATAATGCGATGTGTGCATGTGCATGTGTTGCCTCATGCATACAGTCTCTGACCTTTATGAAACTGCTGTATAGACTTGATTCAAATACCCCATCATCTGCCAGGCCGTGAGTCTTTCATCTGCGTTAAATTCAATGCATTAAATCGATTATTCATTATAATTCGGTGTGTGCATGTTTTTGTGATTGCCTCATGCGTACGGTCTCTGACCTTAATGAAAATGCTGTATAGACTTGAATGAATCCGTACAGAGCGTCACACATTTGCACTTAAGATGCTCTCGTGCCTTCAGGGGCTTTCAGTGGTGCTTTTGCTTTTTGTGATTGCCTCATGCGTACGGTCTCTGACCTTAATGAAAATGCTGTATAGACTTGAATCCGTACAGAGCGTCACACATTTGCACTTAAGATGCTCTCGTGCCTTCAGGGGCTTTCAGTGGTGCTTTTGTGGAAACGTGTGTGTTCTTGTGAGCATCACTAAAAAGCTTCGGCCATTGTGTTGGCCGACTAAAGATAAAGCAGATGATGTTAAAGCGTGGCTCGGTGGGACGCTGTGCGTTTCTATAAGTGCAGCGGGTTTGCATCTCTTTGGATTTTGAACCACATTCAGGTCAAGTGAATAAATGAGAGCCAAAGAAACCAAAATTGAAATAGCATTGTTAACTACACTTGAATTTGATTGCTTTCTAATTCTGTTCCTTGAGTGTGAATTAGAATTGGTTATCCTTTTTGCTACCTCAGTGCGTATTTATAAAATGTATAAAACAAAACCCTGAGTTATACATGCGCATGTGACCAACTATGTGACCGCAGGCTTGGTGAGCAAAAGAGACTTCTTTAAAAAACATTAAAAATCTTACTGTTCAAAAACCTTTGGCTGGTAGTGTAGGAGGATTATTCTCATAGATTGAAACAAAAGTGCTTCAGCCAGGATAAAGAATATGAAAAGTGCTCTGAATTGCTGTAGAAAACAGAAAAATAATTAGCAACAACAAAAACATGTTGCCGGAGACGGCTTATTATTGAAAATGCAAACTGCTTGTCTGCCAGCAGGAGGCGCTTCTGGAGCGGTAGTAACAGCGGGTTCTCCAGTAACGGCTGTAAACAAAGCAGCTCCGCTCATGAACGCTACTTTATCAGATCAAATGAAAAACGCCATCGAAACTTTTCTGAAGACAGTCGGTTCCCTTCAGAGATATATTCATATAAAACACCCGCGCCGTGTTATGATTTTGAAACGTGCATTTCTCATGTTTATTCAGCGAAGTCAAATGCCACAAATAAATCAATGAATGGGAAACACTGGTAATGTATATTGAAATATCGGAAATGCGTTTAAAAATCATATCACCGTTATTGAAAAAAAATTATATCGCGATATGTATTGATATTGAATTATTGTCCAGCCCTAACATATATATATATGAAATTAGGTCTTAATGAGTGAGTCAATGAATCATTCATTCAACTGATTTGTTCAAATGACTGATTCATTCCCAAATGAATCAAACTGAATCATTGACTCGCTCAGTTTGCTCAAGAACTTGGATTCATTCGATGATGAATCGCTGCTGTGTGTCGCTCGTTTGCAGAATTGTGCACAATTTGACAATATTGTGTCTAAACCATAATACAAGATTAACTTCGTGTTTATTGAACTGCTGTATAAAATCAATTTCACATTTGCAGTAACGCAGTTATTTGGGGAGAAACTGCGCTTTTGCTTTTGTGATATTGCTAAACTATATTATATGGTATAAATATAAGACAAAACCCCATAAAGGGGCATTTTTGCCCTCATATCTCAAATATTTGGACATATAACTGTATTCTAACAGTAAGTCATCCTGCATCATGTTATTAGCTCTAAAATCAAGCAGGGTTTTTGGCTAGTGTGATTTCACAGTGAAATAAAGACTAAATGTCCCGTTGCTCCTCAAGGTCATCGCTGCTCGGGACACAAACTCCGACTTCCACTTGATCGCTCACGTTGTGCTGGTTTGAACATGTTGTTAAGCTCTGGGTTCGTCAGGGATTTTCAGTGTCGCGGCTCAAGGTCGTTCTCAGATTTATATGTATTCGTCTTCATGCGTTTGATCTCAGAGGGCCGGCTCTGATTGGCCTCGGCCGAGTGATGGATGGCGCAGGAAAGTGTAATCTGTGTAATGGGAATCTGCTGTCCCTCACTCATTCTCTCCTGATGATATGGATCCCAGTTATTGTTCTCTCTCTCTCCTGAGTGTTTGTGAACATACGTTGTGTTCACAGCCCCAGACAAACGCAGAGAGAATCTGATTATTCCATTCGCTGTCTCTGCAAACACAGCGACTCGTAAGTGGATGAGAGAAATTATATTTAGCCGGGATTCCTGCTGAATATTTGACAGCGCAGCATTTCATTTAGATTACAGATGAATAAAATAAGCACAATGCGACAGCGGAGACAGAAAGCGTATTTAGTGTTATGTTCAGCTGAGTGTGCTTAACATTTATCTGTGTTTCCTTACAGAACTGATATCGGCCTGGCTGATTAACCACATAAATACTGATTCATATTTAATATGCACATTTTTAAGGCTCTAAATGATCAAACTCTGCTGTTAAAGCTGTCTCACACTCAATCTCCTGCATGTCTTCTGTCGTCTGATTGAGAGTTTAGAGTGTTTTATCCAGTAAAAGCTCTTTTAGTGTAATTGTACAAGCGTACAATTGCTTCTCGTGTCAGATCTTGACGGATTTTGATCAAGTAAGCATCAGAATAACTGCAGTAATATCTCCAGATGAACACTTACTGGACTGAAGCAGCTCAGCTTTACTTGATTCTCCATCAATCATGTTTTAGAGTCTCAAATCTGATCCTCAGGATCTTTTGAGGAGCGTTTGTTTCCAGAAGCTTTACTTTCACTGTTCCTCAGCGGAGGAATGATCTTCACAAGCCTCCAGAACATCTCACATCTTCTGAGGAGCCTTTATTTCTTTAGCTCTCAATCACTGCATTATATGTTTGGAGCATTTCACTCTCATCTCACTGAGACAGATTACTGGAGATATAGAGCGACCGCTGATATTTAGATCAGTTTATATCAGTATCTGCTCTACTGTTATAAAGATCTCACTGATTTACATTACAAGCAGCAGAATGTCATTGTTAGTATCAGGATCTGCAGCAAATTCATATTTTAGTCTGAATAAAACATAGCTGCTTTTTCCTCCATTTTCTCACTTAATCAGACTATATGAGCCATAAAAGCTTGATGAACACATGACCATTTGGGATTATTGACATAATCAGTTGTTAACTGCACATACTTGGACAAGTGGCACATAAATGTATTCAATAATGCACAATTTTCAGTGTTTTTTTTTTTTTTTTTTTTTTTTACAATTTAGATGCATATTGGGTAAAATAAGTGTTCATTTTATTTCAGAAACTTGTCACATTTTTCAGTAGACCCATCAGGTTCGACATCAGTAATATTTGGTCATGTTTGCTCACATGATGCTTGATATTTTTCATGTGTTTGATTTGATAGATGACAACCAAAGGCAAATTTATCACCGAACAATGCTGTTAAAGAGGCAATTGTGTTCTTTATTAGCTGTCATCAAGTTTTATTATATACGTGTATTATATATACACTACTGTTCACAGGTTTGCATTTCAATGTTTTTAAAAGAAGTCTCTTCTGCATACCGAGGTTGTGTTTATTTGATCAAAAATACAGTAAAAATTGAAAAATATTATTACAATATAAAATAGCTGTTTTCTATGTGAATATCTGTTCAAATGTAATTGTTTTCTGTGAGCAAAGCTAGAGCTGTGTGATATGGCAATATATATCGGATGGACGAAATAAAAAGTCTATAATTTCATATTATGCTCTATCGTTTATTTCGTGGTGTCGCAAAATACATTGTTTACGGTAATATTTTTTCATCATTTGGATGACTGCGATCTTCAGACGCCACCACCGTGAAGGGGAGACAGAACCAGGTGGAGAACCGCTGAAAAAGAAAAACCATTTGTAACAGTATATTGGATCCAGACTTCGGTCTTAAAGGGGAAGCTGTCCAATGTTCGTCCTGTCTGCCATTCATATTAATCAAACAACAATGAGAGAAAATCTCTCACTGCTCTTGACTAAATCACTTTTGTAACTTTAATAAGAAGAAATAAAAAAAATAATGTCTGTCTGTCCATCTGTCCATCCGTCTATCCATCTATCCATCTAGCCATCCGTCTATCCATCTGTCCATCCGTCTATCCATCTGTCCATCCGTCTATCCATCTATCCATCCGTCTATCCATCTGTCCATCCGTCTATCCTTCTATCCATCCGTCTATCCATCTGTCCATCCGTCTATCCATCTATCCATCCGTCTATCCATCCATCTATCCATCTATCCGTCTATCCATCGGAGACAGAACCAGGTGGAGAACCGCTGAAAAAGAAAAACCATTTGTAACAGTATATTGGATCCAGACTTCGGTCTTAAAGGGGAAGCTGTCCAATGTTCGTCCTGTCTGCCATTCATATTAATCAAACAACAATGAGAGAAAATCTCTCACTGCTCTTGACTAAATCACTTTTGTAACTTTAATAAGAAGAAATAAAAAAAATTATGTCTGTCTGTCCATCTGTCCATCCGTCTATCTGTCTGTCCGTCTATCCATCTATCCATCCGTCTATCCGTCTATCCATCCGTCTATCCGTCTATCCATCTATCCATCCGTCTATCCATCCATCTATCCATATGTCTGTCTATCGATCAATCACAATGAAGACTAATTCATTTTCACCATGTATGTAGCGTTTCTTATTTATTGTAGTTTTTGTCGTATTGCTTGCAGTTAGTTTCTTATCCTTATTTCATCACTGACTGTTTATTTATCTTTAGTGAGCTTGAGTTTGTTGTTTTTTTTCTCTTTTTAAGCTTGTATTAGTTTGATATTGACATTGGTGACAAGGATTATGAAAATGATATGGTATCAAAGATTTTAATATCATAAAAACCTTTTTAAAAGAAAAAAACTATATTGTGATATATATCGTTATCGTGATATAAAATTAGTCATATCGTGATATAAGATTTCGGTCATATCGCCCACCCATAATCAAAGCTGTATTTTCAGCATCATTCCTCCAGTCTTCAGTGTCACATGATCTTCAGAAATCAGTATAATATGCTGATCTGCTGCTCGAGAAACATTTCTGATTATTAGCAATGTTGAACACAGATTTGCTGCACGATATTTCTGTGGAAACCGTGATACATTTGTTTTTTCAGGATTCACAGATGGATAGAAAGTTTAAAAGAACAGCATTTATTTGAAATATAAATCTTTTGTAACATCATAAATGTCTTGACTCTCACTTTTGATAAATTTTTACGCTCTTGATAAATCCTACTGACCCTAAATATTTTACATGGTCGAAGATGCTGCTGAAACAGTACTTTCTGTCAGTGTTTTTTCTGGATTTGTATCAGTGTGTGTTGCACTTTAACCACTGAACTGTGTGTTTGTGTGTGTGTTTCAGGTCGGTATTGTCTTGCATTACTCGTCTCTGTCCACGATGCTCTGGTTGGGCGTCACGGCACGAAACATCTACAAACAGGTGACCAAAAAACCACAGCAGCCGCAGAACGGAGACCACGCGCCGCCTCACCCCGCCAGATCACCCATGCTGAGGTACGA